TCACTTGTAGAAAAAATTCTGCCATTACAACCTATTTTTTAATGAATGTTTAAAATACTTTAAAAAGTTACATGGAGACCTGCTTGGTCTAATTTCAGTATAGGCCCTGCCCTTTCACTTTCTAAGATATCAGCACTATACCTAAATTTGCAATGTTCCTACACCACTGACCTTAGGTGGTTTATGGGGTTTTCTTTTCCTGTTGTTTTTTGTAAGAGTTCCTTATTTTTGTTTTAGGTATATGAGTGTTTTGCCAGCATGTATGTATATACAAGACATGTGATCAGAAGAGTGTGCCAGATCCACTGGAACTGGAGTTACAGACATTTATGAGTTGTCATGTAGGTGCTGGAAACCGAACCCAGGTCCTCTACAACAGCAGCAATACCCTTTAACTTTGGAGCCATCTCTCCTGCCCTGGATTATAAATTTTAGTTTTTATTGTACCAAAAATTTTTACATGTGTGTGCAGGTAACTTCAGTAGTCCCAATTTTATTGGTATGGAGTAGACCCTCAAAAATTATTGTCTGTTAGAACCAGTGAATAAGCCGTTGTGCTTGCTAATCAGACAATGTTGGTGCTACAGATCTTTAACTCTAGGATTAAAAAGAATTGGCAGATAAAGCTATCTCTGACTCTCTTCAGAGTGAGCTCCAACTGCAGAAACTTTAATATACAACCATCATTCCAGGGAGGATGTTGGGTTGCTATTTGGATGATTTCCCTAATAAATTTCAAAATGACATGAAACTATGCATTTTAGCACTTACCAACTTAAGTAATTGATTAACTGAACAGAATACATATTATGGAAGTTCAAACAAGGAGTACTGTATTCTCAATTTTCTGATCTCAACAGAAATCTCCTTCTTGGTTTGACAGGTCCCTAAAAAAACATGGAACAAGTCCTAGAATTTTCAGGTCACTCTCAGCCATTAAAAAGCCACACACTATGGGGTTTGGGAACTGGCCCCATCAGTAAAGTGCTTCCCAACCATGAGGACCCGAGTTCAATCCCCAATACCTATGTAAAAAAGCAGGCCATGGTGGTACACTTGTAATCCCAGAGTGGAGAGGCAGAGACAGGTGGATCTCTGATGGGACCCTGTCTCAAAATATAAGGTGAATTGTACCAAAGGAGGAATACCACCTAAAGTTGTTTTCTGGCTTCTACATGCCTATGCACAGATGTGCACTCACACACACACATCCACACACCTCTTCAGACCCACCCCTCACAACTATCTACATACTAAAATGTCAATTATATGCCCAAAGCAGGACCTTTGCCTAGTTGGGAAAAGGAGAGCTATCCTTATAAACAGATGGTGTAGGAAAATCCAAGCCTCTGTGTGTCCTGCTAACAGCCCACAAATTTTCTTTTTGAATGCTGAGGTAGGTACAGAATATAGTAGTAAACACGTCTAAAAAATTTCTTGCCTCTTATTAAGATGGTATTTCTTTTGAAAATTATTAAATTTAATGATTTTTAGTAAGTGTGTTTGCATGTACATGCATGCTATGGCATGGGTATAGAGGACAATTCAAGGGAGCTGGTTCTCTGCTTCCATTATGTGGGTCATGGGGACTGAAATCAGGTCAGTAGGCTTGGTGACTGGTATCTCTTCCTTTTGAACCATCTCTCTGGCCCAAGATGGTATTTTTTGCAAGTAATAACCATAACTTTGAGAGATCTGCTCATCCACTCCTCGTCCCATTCTGGCCCAAGGAATGGAGTTGTGGAAAGGGGAGTGCATGCTGGTTTCTGAGCCTTTTCACCTTGTCACAAAAAGCAGGCAGATGGCAGAAGCAAAGTTGCTAGTTATGGCTTGAATGTGGAACTGTTTAAGAAAGTTATAGAATGCTGAGGAGGTGGGGTCTGGCTGGAGGGAGTGGGCTACTGGGTGATGGGCTTTGAGGAATATAGCCTAGCCCTGCCTCCGGCCCTATAACAAGTCGGGTGAAATCTCCATGTCATGGGCAGAGCTCTGTCCACCATGCCTTCTGTGCCATGATAGCATGTATCCCATTAAGTTAGAAGTCAAAATAAACCTCTCCTCCCTGAAGTTGTTTCCATCAAGCATTCTGTTGCAGTGCCAAAAGAAGTAACTAATATATAGTTCATGATTCTATCTTTCTTTATTCATTGGTTCCTGATACCTCTCTACAATAGACTCAATGACTTTCTCGAAGGCTGACACAAGCAAATATGATATTCAAAATATTTACAGATGGGGCACCAGCTAATCAGAAAGGATATGGTCTCAGGGCTGGAACAGGATCCTCTAGGAACAAGGAGTTCAGGGATCCTTACAGAGTTGCTTAAAGATACTTGGGGAATTGCCTTTTTTTTAAAAATACCAACAGTAGCATTTTGATCTGTAAGTATAAAGATAGCTGTATGGGTACAAGTTAACTGAATGTCACTCCTGCCTGTGGCAGCACTTCAGAGAGTCTTGAGCAAAGGATCTCCATCACATTATCTGATGTGGCTGCCCCAGGTCTGCCCTCTGCCAATCCCTCTCCATTAGTGTTCTGTGGTCTCTTGCCTGATCAAACTAAACTATTTTCTATTTATTTACTTTACCCTTCGGAAATACATCTTTCCAATGCCAAAACTAAGAATAGAGAAAGCCACTCCAAGTCTCTCTATACTGCCAACTTTCTTGTTTTCTTTTTGCTTGGTCAGATAAGTAAAGGATGCCACAATTAATTTATGTCTAAAGCATTTTTTGTTTCTCACCAAAGCACAAGAAGATAACTCTTGCATGTTCCTTCCTTAATCTTTAACAGTGGAGGTGACTTCCCTTCCCTTGAGAAGGTGGAGTAAGCATGGAAAATCTATCCTTTAATCTCAGGAGAAAAGGCAAGGTACTCCAGAGGATGTTATCCCTAGGATGATCTGGGAGTTAAGGTGGTGAGGAAAGGCCTGTTGGGATGCAGAATCCAAAGGGAAAGGTTCATCCCAATTGGAGGTAATTTCTTGATGGCTTTTCCTTCGGAATGTATAAATTTAAGTCTGTCTCTTTTAGATCCCAGACAGCATCACCAGTTCTAGATGACTTCAATTTCTTGCTATATTTACTTTTTAAAGAGGTACCAGAAATGATCATATATTCTATTTTGTTAAAAAAGAGCATCAAATACAAATGGGATAAAGATTCTAAGAAGCATTTATCTGCTGGTGATTGCTGGCGATGCTGGTTCATCCAATGTGTGAGTTTCATACTGAATTAGAAGCTGGGATGTACTTCTAAAACACACTCTATTCATGTTATGACATCAGATTCATTTAGTACAAATAATAATAAAGATTTTCTTGGCAAAATATTTTCAGCAACCCAGCTTCATCAAAAGCATATATTTTTACTTAAATGTTATAATAAATTAAGTCTAAGTTGATTTTCTGTAACTGAAATAAGCTTATTCCAATAATTTTACTCCTTTAAATTATGATATCAGCATTCAAACATCTGTTAAACCATAGCATCTGTTTTATATTTGGGATGCATCGCTACAAATTAGAAAGGATTTTAAAACGAGTTCTGATTTAATAAGAAATCCTTTTTTATCATCGAAAGAAAATGACAAAGCAGATTCATCTCTTTAGCAACCCTGCATAGCAGAGAGTCCCCTAAGTGCATATGTCATTATCAAAAAGGTTTAATAAAGATAAATGTTAAATGAAAAGTTTGTTTGCTTTACACTTTGGTGTTAAGATTTTATTTTTACATATTTGTGTGCACAGACAGAAATTATACAACTAGAAAAGGCAGATGGCCCATATATCCCTATTATTCAAGAAAAACAGTCATTTCTTTCAAATAAATTGTTCTGAGAATCTATAGCATCTAGAAAATTCATGACTCACAGTCTCTGCTTATGAGATCTGTTTACAGGCCTACTCCAGAAGTACTCTTTGTTGCACTAGCACCGTCTCAGCTGTATTTGAGGGAATACTTTACTGACTTGTGAAGTCCTTTTTAGAATGATTCTCTTCTGTCTTCCCAAATGTTTCTTAGAGTTTTCTAGACTTCATAGACCCTCCATTTGGATCTCAACTTGTCTTACACAAGAAACGTGTAAAGTTTGCATCAAATGCAGTGGGTTTGTTCATGGTTTATATCGGCCATTTCAGGCCCTGCATTCCTGTATTTCTGATTTGCATCTGGTTTGGTTGTAAAAGCCTAATTTAAAGGTA